AGACAGTACTGTTTCGGCCTTCTGGGCCTCATCAGTGCAGTGCTGATGCTAGGAGATTTTGCTATACATATTCAAAAATACTTTCATCTTTCCCTATAAGCTGAACAAGGAACTCAACTTGAGCAGTGCCCCCAGGGATATGGTAGCCCCCTAATATTATGTCGTCTTTCGGTCTTCGCGGGATAGCGGAGAGAACAGGATATAGGCGGAGGGTCTCTCGTAACCAGGCCTTTAGGTACGGTATACGAGTGAGCGTTTCCAGCGTTGCAAAGGTAGAATTTCCAACCACTGAGAGCACTTCCTATCAAAGAACTTCTGTTTCTCAGGATTTTTGGCCAACATATAAAGAACCCATTGCATCGTGTTGGACGTAGTGTCAACTCCGGCAAACAGAACATCCATAACGCTCGCCAACAGGTCATCCTTCGTCAGCTTTCCGCAGGAGCGGAGGAACTCGAAGAAGCCAGCTAAGTCACGGTCTGTTTCCTTTGATGGCCTGCATGACTTCTCCTCCAGTTCCATGATTCTTCTCCCGATAAATAATTCGGCAGAATCGTACATCGTATCAAAATTCTGGAAAAAACTCTTTAAATTTCTGGGTCTCCTAGATCTTGTAAAACTAAGTAGGCAAAAAACCGACTGTAATGAAAGAGAAGTTTAATCCTTGCACAATTTAGGCTTTATTCAATAAGACCTCGTGCTTACATACTGAACAACATAAACATGGTGGCCTAACAAAAACAAGTCCGCTATCATTTGCGGATTAACAACTCCGCTGACATGTGCGTGGGCACTAAAATACACAGGAAGCCCAGTAATTAAAGATTAAATCATCACAGTGTCACTACACCGACCTCGGCCGCATTCGCCAGAAAATCTCCGACGACTCTTATGAAGGTCTGTGCCCCTTTGTTGATTTCCTCTTCAACACAGCCAAACCTTTCGTCAAACAACACCTCCGCCACAGACTTAAGCGACCACTTGGAAAGTCCATTATCGAGTTCACAAACTTCGTTTTCTTTCTCTGACCCACTAGGCTCTCGAACTGATCGTAATCAGTGAATAAAATCGCCGATAATTCTATTGAAACCCGGAGTAAAGTCGGCGACTTCTCTCGGTCGAAGCATTCTTCTGCTCAGGACGCTCCGTAGCTTGTACCATTCTTCGCCATCGGCAAAAAAAACCACTAGGAATTTTCTTCCTTTTCTCCCGGTAGAAATTTAGAGACGGAAAGTCCAGTCTTTCTGGGTGTTTGGGATCCGATCGGAGTAACTTTGCAACGTCGGCAGGATCGGATAAACTAATAATCGAAAAGAAAATCGGGCGGGGGCCCCTTCCCCGTTTTCTTTCGGAGGATAGTGCAGGATGGTGACATGTTACCAGCGGGACATGTTATCTTCGCGCTTTTATCAACTTGGATTCCATAACAAACAAACTAGGGTGCAGTACTCTGCCAACGGTTATTGTAAGCAGACAAACACAGTGATAGCAGACTTTTAAAAAGTAAAGGCAGAGTCGTGCGAAATATTTTACAAATATTTTACGCTCCTATCTTTAGTTATCTTCAAAGTTAGCGCCTTCTTTTAAGGAAAAACGCACAGCACCGACATAAAAAACAAACGCAACACAAGAGTACGTAGATAACAACCGGCAGAAAAGTGTCCGAACAATGCACTGCAGTGGTATCTGCTGGATCTGTGGTGTAGGTAAGCGTCGGGCTTTCAGGGGGAGTCTCCGGAGGTGTTGTAGGAGCCTTGGCTAGTTTCT